ACCACAAGGACTATGTTCATAGCAACATTATTCGTAATAGCCAGAACCTAGAAACAACCTAGATATCCCTCAACTGTAGAATGGATAAAGAAAATGTGGTACATTTACACAATGGAGTAATAATTAGCTGTAAAAAAAACAATGACATTATGAAACTTGTAGGCAAATGGATGGAACTAGGAAAAAATCATCCCGAGCAAGGTAACTCAGACCCAGAAAGACAAATATAGTATGTACTCACTCATAAGTAGATATTAGACACAAAGCAAAGGATAACCTGGCTACAATTCACAACCCCAGAGAAGCTAGGTAACAAGGAGGACCCTAAGAGGGACATGCATGGATTGCCCCAGGAAGGGGAAATAGTTAAGATCTCCTGGGTAAACTGGGAGGGGAGGTAGGGGGATGGGGTAGGAGGTGGAGGATGGGAACATGAGGGATTGAGATGGCTGAGTTGGAGGAGGGGTGGAAAGGGAGAACAATTAAAGAGATATCTTGACAGAGGGAGCCATTATGGAGTTAGGGAAAAATGTGGTGCTAGGGAAACCCCCAGGAACCCACAAGGATGACCCCAGCTAAGACTATTATCACAGTTATTAAGTAGAAACTCTAGGCAAATAGGAAGAAATGTTAACCATGAAAACTAATGCCTCTAAAGAACATGAGGCCCCTATGGAATCCAGCTTCCTTATGTTTGTGAACTTATTTTTGTGATTTCCTGATAAACCAGCCAAAATTCTAATTATCTTTTAATATTCAACCAGTATTTTAGTCCTTGGGTAGAAAAAGAAAGAAACAAATAAAAACTCTCAAAGCCATATTCTTTACAGGACAATTTTCAATTCAAAATGAAAGAAAATATTTGAGCTCCATGTGTGTAAAAATTCTAATAAGTTATAGTATATCTCCTAATTGAGTTACAAAATATAATAAATGGTACAACTGATTTACAAAATATGTAAGCTGGAGTCTGGGGGCCAAATAAATATGCTGGTGAGGGAATTCATGAGCTGGATAAAATCACTGGTGAAGTTAGGGCAGGGAGAGAAGAGATTTCAGCCCCAAGATACCTCATGGAACTAATTTTTTAAAGTTGTTGGACTTTATAAAGTGCCATGCATTATCAGTAGCATTGTTCAAAGTAGAATACTGGAGGTGCTATCTAGCTCTCTTTATGATTAGCAGGAAAGAGCATATATGGGATGATGGATGGAAGGCAAAAACCACTAGAGGAAAAGAGCTAAAAGAGTTGAGAAACTAATGAATTAAAGACTTTATTTACATATAACAAAATTGCCAAGAATGATGACAAGCTTTAGAAAGACTAACAAGGGTCCTAGGGTTAAAGTTAAGATATGAGAAGATGAGCACAAACTAATAACTACTACAGGAAGCAAGCTAATGGAGAATGCTGTTGGATGACATGAGAGCCAAAGCTGAAAATTTTAGAAAGGAGGGGGAAATGGTCTGGAAACAACAGTGATGAGGATTAGGGAGGACACTCTATCTCCACCCTTAGATGCATGTGTTAAGGATGGCAGAAAGAAATGGCACCACTGCTGTGGGATGGTCTGTATGGCAAATGTGTTGCTGATTGGTCAATAAATAAAACACTGATTGGCCATTGGCTAGGCGGGAAGTATAGGTGGGACAAGGAGGAGAATAAAGCTGGGAAGTGGAAGGCTAAGTCAGAGAGACACTGCCAGCCGCCATGATGACAAACAGCATGTGAAGATGCCGGTAAGCCACGAGCCACGTGGCAAGGTATAGATTAATAGAAATGGGTTAATTTAAGCTATAAGAACAGTTAGCAAGAAGCCTGCCACGGCCATACAGTTTGTAAGCAATATAAGTCTCTGTGTTTACTTGGTTGGGTCTGAGTGGCTGTGGGACTGGCGTGTGACAAAGATTTGTCCTGACTGTGGGCAAGGCAGGAAACCTCTAGCACACCACTTTAGAGAGCCAAAGCAGAAATGCTTTCACAACAGTCTTCAGTTAGGCCTCGAGTGTGAAGGGAATATTTTAAGAAGGTATAAGGACTTTTTGATTGTTTTTGACATTCAGTGTGAGTTCCAGCAGCACAGTGAACAGATTCCAGAGTGGGAGAGGTGGTCGTGAGGTCAAATGAGAGACATGGAGTTACTGACAGCAGGCTTGAGCATTCCCCAGCATTGTAAGCCCACACCTGGTGGAGGCTGTATCAGACAGAATTGTAGGGGATACTCTGTGATCTTCCCTGAGGGTCTCAAGACTGTGAACTTGGGGGAAATCACTGTCCTTCTATTGTTAACAGTCTGTAGAAAAACTAAGAACCAGCCACAGATAAAGGAAATTGTCTAGCAATCTACTCCTTTCCTAAACAGTAACTTCATCCTTTCCTTGTCACTTAGGGCAATGTGAGCTTCTTTGAGTAAACTCCCTCCTTCCAGAGTTTCTTTTGAAACTGTCTGTTAAGAACACCTTTCTTGGTGCTGTTCTTCCAGAGGACCCGGGTTCAATTCCCAGCACCTATATGGTAGCTTACAACTGTTTGTAACTCCAGTTCCAGGGTATCTGATACCTTCACACCAATGCATAAATTTAACATAAAATAAAGTTAAATAAATTTAAAAAAAGAACAGCTTTCTAAGTAAAAGTCCATACCATGGTTCGATTCCCTGTACTCAGAAAGGTAAGAAACAGTTTGGAAATCACAGGTGAGAGGGTGTTTGTTGGAATATCAAATTAGAAGTGATTTATTGAATGTACTGAGGTAGGAAGGCAAAAGGGCAGATTGAAGGTCTTGAGCAAGATGACTCCATCCATGGCAACAGCAGAGACAGGTGTCTCTATGAAGGGCCACAGTGTTCACGGTGTGACAGTGGTACTGTAAGACGGCTTCTCTTGCAGGATAGGTGCTGAGGCACTTCTTTGCAAACCAGGTGTTTGCTCCTATTGTGCCTTTGAGTTCATTCACTTGAAACTGTTACTGGCAACTACAGCTCAGTTTTGGTGAGCATCAGATTGTGCCACACACCTCAACAAGCGTGCACTAATCATTCTCAGTTTGGTGTTATTATTAGCCTCCACATATCTCCCATGAAGAAACAGTCACCAAGTGATTCAGTAATTTGGATAAGGCTTCCACTTAGAAGCTAGGAGAATCAGAACGCCAATATTAACACTAGCAAGCACTCTGCTATACCATTTTAAAAGATGAGACTTCGAGGAGTGACACCCTAGTCATCCACTTAAATTTCAATAAATGGATGGAAATTAGAATTGGTCTTGATTCCTATGATCTAGTTTTCTTTCTTTTCTCTTTCACTGAAAATGATGATTTATTAATATTTTTGAAATGTTTAAGATTATAGAAAATGACTGTGCACTTCTGAGGACACATACCTATGCTCTTTGACTGCTTAAGTAACATTGTTATTTAATCGACTTCAGTGAATGTTTCCTGTGATTACTGGAGACACATTTCAGCAAATAGAGTAGGAGCCCGTGTCAAACGGATTTTTAGAAAACATCATTAAAATGAACTTTAAAGGCATTTTAAAATTATTTAGTTTTTCAACAAAGATGCAATGCAATGAATGTATATAAATTATTTTAGAACAGAAATCAACATTTTTTCACATTTTATTTTATAAAATAAATTGCTTGTCTCAAGCCTTTAGACATTTCTGTTTTAGAAAAATTTTTTCCAATTAAAAAATAATGGTTTAGCTAAAAACAAAACAAAATTCAACAAAACTCCACATGATAAAACATTGGTTACATATCAACTCATATTGGAGATACATTTCATTTTAAAAGAGAAAGGAACAGAAAGCCTATAGCACACAGAAATTATGGATTTATTACCATTTTTATGCTTTCAGAACATGCAGCTTTCTACTCTAACTGCTGAGGGGTGAGTGTTGAGAGATCTCTGAGATGAAACTGACAATGTGCTGGTGAGTCTGGTTTTAAGGCATAACACTGCAACACATTTTAGTTGGCTTAATGACACCACCACTTCAATCCACTAACAGTCACTATGTTTTTAAAAACATTTAAAAATAGTGTCAAGTATTTTATTCCCCGACTTCTTTTTCCTTTGGGCACTGATACAACTGTCCTGTGTCTTACCACCCTCTCTAGAGTGAAGCGACACACAGATACACTTCTCAACTGCTTCATTCGGGTGCTGTCCCATTTTAACTTGTCTCTGTCATCCATCCATTCACTCAACATGAATGATGGGCTGCTATGGGGCAGGGGCTGTGAAAGGGACAGAGTCTTGCTGTCATGAGGCTGTGGTTCCTTTAGTACATATTCCAGGTATTTTAAAAGAATATTTTTGTATTAGAGCAACTTTAAGCAAATCTTGAAAATTTCACGAGTGGTTGCAATTCTGCTCTTTTCCACTCAATTTCACAATAATCTGTAGCTTGGAGTCTCTCAACAAACATTTTAAAATGGTCTTTTTCTATCTTTTGTGCAGCATTAAACAATGGCTGAGCCTTTGTCCAGATAGCCTTTGCACATGTAGGAGAAAAAAATAATAGTGTGAAGATTAATAATATGAATAACAAGTTACAAAGAAGGAAAACTACAACATAGTTTTCTTAAGTCAAAACCCCTCCTAGGTCTCCAAAATAGTCTGTAAGTTCCAAGCTTTCTGATTGTATTTAAAGGACTTTAAAATACCATATGTAGCTTCTTTTGAAGGAATTTTATATATTTTAAAAACAGTAACTCAGAAGAATTATTACTCAAAACCCTTTTGAATTCTAAGAATTTATCTTCACAGTTTCCCACAACATTCTATATTTACACACATTTTTAAAAGATCCAACTTTTCAAGTTTAAATAAAGTAACAAAAATTAGTTTTCAGTAGTTGTCCCTCAAATCTTTTATCTTTCGACAGTTTTTAAAATGAAATAATAAACAAGTGACTTTGCTTAGTACTAATTCTGATTTACATCATGAAAATCACTACTGCTGCCAGTATTAGCCTAGTAAAACTCACCAGGTCCTCTCAGATGTCCCAGAGAAGAGGTCAGATTTTGTAAATTCAAGCCAACATGGGAATGGAAGGATTCCAACATTCTGTTTTCAAAACACAGAGTTACAACTTGAGTGATTTTGTCTCCCTTGTTTTGTAATCAACCCCCAAGTCTAACATTACAGGATTAAATGCTAGCCTCACATACTCCCACCTACTCCTGACAGCAGGACCAGACCTGTGGATTCTTCAGTGTCCTGTAGAGGAAATATTATTGAAAGAATAACACTAAACTTTGCTAGTTTTTAGTGTGGACAAAATGTAGGAACATCTCCTTTCTGAGCAATCCCCACCTAACAAAAGTTTGGAAAATAAGCATCTTATCTATTTTTCATTGTTTGATAGGGGATTTTAAATAATGTAATTTCCCTGATATCACTTATAGAGATTCAAACACATCTGTTTGACCTAGAGCCAAGCGCCATACAGACAGTTTAGAAAATGTAAATAACCAAAAGTAAAGAAAAGAAAAATCTTCTCTAATACATCACTCTGATATTTTGCTAATTATTGCAAACCTAGAGTTTCTCATAGTCTAGGAACTATTCAAAGCCTTCTATATGTCCTACCTGATTTCATCCTCCCAACAAGCATCTGCTACTGCTTCTACTATTAATGTACTCATTTTATACATGAGGGAACTAAAATGCATAGGGTTACATAGGTCAGATTATCCCAACTAGAAATAGATGGAGCCATGACTTGAAGTCATGTAGTGGGGCTTCAGTAATTATATTACACTATTTTATTCTAACTTCATTTGACATGATTAGCTGTATAATAATATTCCATATCTTTTCAATGTTTATTTGTATATAAATGCAAACAAACTTTCTAAGTACTTAATATTATATTATGGACATCTTCACTAACATATATAGATGTATGTTGTTATATTGGACTGTCATCTAACATTATACTATATGGATTGAATATACTAATGGTTTATCAGTCTTCTAATGGATATTTGGGGTGCTCATACTTTTTTGCTATTATTAAAACTTCTTGAAAACCTTTGAGCATTCTCATCTATGCACCTGTTCAATTACCTGCTTGGTATGCCTAGAGATGACATTGCTATCTGGATGTTATATAAGTGTTACAGAGGTTTTTAGTACTTAAAATGTTTTTCTAAGAAAAAAAATTAGCATGTATGGGGGAAGAGGCTATGACCATCCTGATCAGAGCTTGATATCAGATAGGGTGTAGGCACTAAATAAAGAGTAACAAGTTATAAGATGGACCCACCTCATCTCTCTGTCATGCGTATGACATATCCACGGATTTGGTCAAGAACTGGAGTAATTCCATCTGAAATTCTAGAATTCATTTACATCCTACTAAAATTGAGGCAAAATGCACTTATTGGACAGTTTGCTTTACTTTCTAGCATGTGGACCACAGCTAAGTATTACTTAATCTTCAAATTAGGACAAATATTTTTCAACAATCTCCTACTAATGAAAATTGTGACAAAAATTTACAATTGATGCCTTTTAGCAAAACATTTGAAAACCATTGAGCAAAAATTCTGAGATGTTTCAACACAGTGGAATGCATGCAAATATCCTGGCACTTTTGAGGTGAGATGAAGAAAGAGATAAGGAGGGTTGCTATGCTATGTGGCACTTCACCTTCGTTCTGTCATTGGACTGACTGATCAGAAGACCTAAGCATAGATTCTCAAATACAATATATTGGAAAGTAACATATAAAATGTATACACATCCACCATTATTGTCCTGAGACCAGGATTCTTATGCACAATAGTCTTTAATTTAAAATTTGAAGATGCAGTATAGAACATGACGTTCTTAATCTAAATGTGAAAATATGGAAGCATTCCATTTTGTTTGCTGTTTGCATGCCAAAAATAGAAAAATGTGGATAAAGGTAAGCATCATACACTTATGAAATTCTTTCATATTCCTTATTTTTAGCCAATTATTTTTGTTTCTTCAGTCAATATTTTTATACCTAAAAATGTGTTTCACCTTACCCATTATGTGCCTCCCAAGGCACCTTAAAAGGAAATAGAGAAGAGAAAAAAAAACTCTCCCATAGGCCTCTATGTGACCTGTATAGAAACCCTCCCAGACTCTAGTCTGAAAGCCTGTTAGCAATCCTCTACCTGATTGCCTGGCTGATTCTATTCTCTTCTTTCTGCTGCCTACAGCCTCTTCTTCTCTGTATTATATGGAGAGCCAGATTTCAATAAAAACCTCAACCGGATGCTTTTTTTAAAAAAATGTACTAAAACACAGGTTTTCAAAGAACCTGACTCATCATGTCCCCAAACGCTCACTTGTCTTTTCCTTTGCACTCCCATCACACTCCAACATTAATGAAATGAAGCTAACTGCTAAGATAGGAGCAAGTTACCACCATAAACTAGCTATAAATAAAGACAAGGCAGCCCAAGTGGGTTCAAGTTCAGGCTTCCCAGGCTTTAGGCTGCCGTTGGAGTGCATGTACCTGCTCTTAATTTCAAACAGTGTTGATCTTCCTCATTAAACAGGACATGTTTTTATTCAAAATCGGAACTAGGGGTATTAGGAGACCTTTACCTTCCCCCAGTTGTAGAAGAAACAATTCCCTGAGAAACTGTTAACTCTACTGAGAAAGAAAACATAATGAAAGACTTTATTTCTGCTCAGATTTGTCGTTAACAAGTGCCCCACTTGTCCTTAAATCGCTGTTAGTATTCTTTGGATTATAAGCTTCATATAAAGTAAGAAGCATTTTCAAATGAATTCAGTTAATTTTTCTAGTTATTAAAAGCTTACTGGATAGTCTAAACTATGTAACTGCTTTATTAAGTAGTCTTTCCACAGCCATGACTTAGTTAAGCTAACCTGAGTCTTGAGTTAAATTTAGTCAAAATAGAAAGGGGAAAAATTAATCTTTCAATACAATAATTTCTTCCCCTATCATAAATTAAACCAAACTTCTTTCCCTGAATCTGTGCATACCTTCTACTTGTTCAAATCTGATACTTGTAATACATTTAACCCAAGAAAATGGCTATCCGGACAAAGATCTGTTAGTGCTAAGCACAATTTGTGACACAGATTTTGGATGCCAAGATATTCTTTAAAGCAAAATAGTATCTCCTCCAATATCTATTATTTGTACAATTGCATCAATTTCTTAACATGCTGTGCTAATGAAGTGCTGAAAAAAAAAAGTCACCAAAAAGCTGTTTTAACAGAGATGTATCTACTTTCTACAAGTTCTCAAAAATATGTGCTTAGGGGCTGTCAGAGGTCTTATCTGAAGCCTTAGGGCCAACCCTCTAACACATTCTTGTAAAGTCATCTAGAAGATGGTATGATCCTGTAGAATAATCCAGAAGAGTAGCTGACCTATCTCCAGACACACACAGAGCAGAAGCAATGTTCCAAATCCTTGCATTCCAACTATGTTCTGTGGAATCATCCTCACCTTCTGTTAGAGAAAGACTAACCTTTAATTATTAGATTTTAAAGGGAAAATTATAACTTATTCTGCTCCATAATTGCTGCAAAGGAGTTATTAAAATTCCAAACTTATGTAATATTATCATAAAATATGGCATTTTTCTCAAGAAAGACACAAATTGGATTTGAGCTTACGCACTGTAAAACCCAGATGGTTTGCTTAGCTACTCAGACATCCTCCAGTTCAAAAGTTAATTGAACTGAAAACTAAAATTTTGATAATTGATATGCTTTGGGACTAGAGCAGAAAGATAAATTAGCCGTATGCACGGGGTGTTAATGGGCTTGAGAAACCACTGCAGTTAGTGAGAGAATATTGGCCAAGAAGAAAATCTTTTTTCTCTCCCTCTCCCCTCACCCCTCTATTGTCTAGGTTAAATAATTCCACATTACCTGGGTTTCTTGAGACGCAGCTGCTTTTCTTTCTCCATTTTCTTACTTACAGATTCAATATCAGTTATTATTTTACCCAGTTTAACTTGTTCTGGAATTAACAAAAAAGCGTTGATTGTATACTACTATAATTTCCAAGTTCTAAATGTACTTTTCAAATTTAATTGCAAATTACAGACTTTTAAAATAAGAGACAACATATTCTTTTAAAAATTACTAACACAAAGTTACCATAAAACACATTTGAATAGTTTTTTCTTACCCCTATCTTATTCCGATCTTTTATAATTACTAAAATTTAGGGCTAAAAAGTAAACCATAAATGAATAACATATATCAAAAAAGGACATCTCAGAAAAATGCCTGCAACAACATAGCACAAGCCCATGAATGTAAAGGACTTCTGTGTGTGTTACCATTAACATCTTTATTTTCATAAAGCTTAGTTTATATGGGAGGCTCTGCTGCTTTAAAATAAGTTAGCAAGTCATTAGTTAATGAAAACAAAAGTCTCTTCATTTAATATAGTTAGACTAAAGACAAACACACTAAGTCAGGTTTGTCCAGCACTTTTCATCTCCCAGCTTGGATATACTGAAAGATATAGAGGCACGTGGTGCTCATAGCATAAAGCCTGTTCTTTAGAAAAGTCACAATGTCAACACAGAATGGAACATACTGGACTGAACTATATAGTTCAGTGTGACACAGAATAGCAAGTTTGAGGAGAAACTGAAAACACAGTGTTACTATTATTTTTTGTAGTATTCTAGGAGTACTGAGTGGTTAGACTTGACCTAAGAATTACCTCTTGTGAGCCTCAGAATAGTGATTTTTTTTTTTGCAAAGTACTATGCTTATTCTCAAAGAGAAGTAGCAATCTCCAGAACTACAGGGCATAACCTGTATAAGTTCTAAAGTGAAAGTCCTCTGTAGTATCCTTTTTAAAAAACAAATTTATTAATTTACTTATTTATTTTACATCCTGGTAGCAGTTTCCCTCCCTCTTCTTCTCCCAGTTCCTCCCCATCTTTCCTGCCCACCCCCCCCCATCCACTCCTCCTCTGTTTCTGTTTAGGAAAGGGCAGGTCTCCGATGAATATCAATAAAACATGTCATATCAAGGTGCAGTAAGACTAAGCACCTCCCCTTATATTAAGGTTGGGCAAGGCGAGGAGTAGGTTCCCAGAGGCCTGTAAAAGAGGAATCAAGGGCACCACAAGAAAACTCACAGAATCAACTAACCTGGGCTCATAGGGGCTCACAGAGACTGAACAGACAACCAGGGAGCCTGCATGAGACTGACTTAGGCACTATGCATATGTGTTACAGTTGTGTAGCTTGGCCCTCAACAGTATTTTTTTAACTCAATCATGTAAGACTTCTTCCAAACTACAAAATTGCTGAGGGATGTTCTGTATGTTAAATGTGTTGCTCTGATTGGTTAATAAATAAAACACTGATTGGCCAGTAGTCAGGCAGGAAGTATAGGCCGGACAAGGAGAGAGAATAATTCTGGGAAGTGGAAGGCTGAGTCAGAGAGACACTGCCAGCCGCTGCCATGACAAGCGAGATGTAAGGTACCAGTAAGCCATGAGCCACGTGGCAAAGTATAGACTAATAGAAATGGGTTAATTTAAGATAGAAGAACTAGGGCTGGAGAGATGGCTCAGAGGCTAAGAGCACAGGCTGCTCTTCCAGAGGTCCTGAGTTCATTTCCCAGCAACCACATGGTGGCTCACAACCACCTGTAATGAGATCTGGCACCCTCTTCTGGCCTGCAAGGACACATGCAGGCAGAACACTGTATACATAATAAATAAAAAATCTTAAAAAAAAAAAAAAAAAAAGATAGAAGAACTAGATAACAAGAAGCCTGCCACGGCCATACAGTTTGTAAGCAATACAAGTCTCTGTGTGTTTACTTGGTTGGGTCTGAGCAGCTGCAGGACTGGCAGGTGAGAGAGATTTGTCCTGACCGTGGGCCAAGCAGAACCAGAAAAAGTCTAGCTACACAAAATACGAGAAGCTTTACCCTTAAATTTCAGTAAAGATTACAGAAGAGGCTGATGGCAATTAAAGAATGCAGATGTCAAAGTGTTTGTGATTGGTCCACCTTAAGATGGGTAATGGGCTTCAGCCAGGTCATAACACTCTTGAGTTTGTAAATGTTTCTTAATGCAAAATCTTGCCTTTCAACCAATGTTATAAAACTTTGTTTCAGTTTTATACCATGAACTATGAATCATTTGATTGAAATAATTAGAAGAAAGGAGATGGGGAGGCTAGAAATGAAAATGGAGGAGTAGTGGGGACCATTTGGTAATTTAAAATAAAATCAGGTAGAAGGCACAAAGGACATGAGAGTGGCCAATTAATTTGCCCTGCTCCCCTCAGAGGTTAGCTGGAATCAAATATTCAGTCACCTGAAATTGGTCCCCTACCCAGTCAATGTCCTCATTCTAATTTCTTTTTACCTGTTTCTTTCAGGACCTCATTTTGTCTTGAGAATCTTTAGCCATTGGCTGTGTTTCCGCACACAATCTTTCTCCCCTTGCCAACTGTCTAATCCTTCACTTCAATGATTTGGTCCAACTACTGTGGCTATATGTATTGCCTAGGTGTGTTTGGCTCATACGTTTATTTTTTTTGTATACACAATTCTTAAGTTCCAATTTTGAGTAATCAACTATCTTCAATTCAATCATCATGGCCTTCTCAGAATTAACAATAGTACTATCCACCTGGGAAAGCATCTCAAATCACTTCCCTTTCACTCCCCTCGCTTATGCAATCATTCATTAAACACTGTCCACCCTTTCTACTTTATATTTCTTACACAGGCCTTTACCATGCACTCTCTGGAACCATAAGAGCTTCCTCAGTTGGGTTCCCACCTACAACCATGCTACCCTCTACCCTCCATGCCTTCCATAAACATTTCTTTTTTAAATTCTGTAATTCTAAATTATCACTATGCTGTTTCCTAAAATAATTTCACAGTAAACAGAGCACAGATTTTGTATAATTCTAGATCACTGAAATGCACTGAAAATGTCTTTTTAGAAGAAACTTAGGTATCTACTAGTAACTCTTGCCTAAATCACCTACTAGTAACATTGCCTTGTAATCTATTATGCAATCATTTATAAGCTAGCTTCCTCGGTAAGGAGAAAAAAACATCCTTCCTCTTTCCTCTCATTTTGAATATTGCTGTGGACATATTAGTTCCTTTTTGCAATTTGTATGACTGTTCTTTTCTATGTTCACAGTGCCAAAATTGGCAGATGAGAGCCAAGCCGGCTCCCATACCTTGCCGCCCATCATCTGTGGTCTCTCACTGTGTCTTGCTTGTCCCAGTACTATTCCATCTTCATTTGGTTTTCCCTGCTCCACACACGGAATTGGGTATGCATGAAGCAGTGGTCATTGCCTCTTCTGATATACTTTCTCCCATTCTCTAGTTAGTTTCCCAGCTAGAAAAGTCTGCTTATTTCTACTAAAACAAATCAATTCATTCTCTAGGGTTCCATCGTTCACATTTCTTCTCTACCTCTGTGCTCCATTTTATACATCTCCTATGATAGGCTTTCTAGTTTATTAATTCTATTTTCAATAATATACTACTTAAACTCTTACAGGTTTCTTTGGTTCTTCATCAGATCTTCTCAGCTACATCGATAGTCATTAGCTCATTCATATGTTCATACTATTTTTCCCAAGACAGGGTTTCTCTGTGTAGCCCTGGCTATCTTAGAACTCACTGTGTAGACCAGGCTGGCCTCCAACTCACAAAGATCTGCCTGACTCTGCCTCTCAAGTGCTGGCATTAAGGGCATGTGCCACCACCGCCTGTCTATACATTTTTATCTTTATTTTTATTTTTATATACATTGATCTCAGTTATTTTTATCCTTTACCTGATAATTTATATTTCTATGGTCTTTGTGAATGTACTTCTAATCAGGAGAGGTAACTCAGTCTCACTCCTGATGGTTTACTTCCTCATGAGTTTTAATTTCTTACATTGTAAATTCATATTCTACACAAATAGAAACTATTCACAAATATTCCCCAAGAATGAGAATTATTTACATATTTTGTAGAAATTTAAGTACATGTGCTGGATGCAAGATGCAAATAAGATATACCCCTGTAAAAGTATTTGTGTTTGTTTCCTGTAGGCAGCTGATAGCACTTTCAATTATGCTAACTTTAATTTCTCACATTAGAAGTTTATAAGATATTGATACTATGAACTGTAATTCAATCCTAAGTCAAGTTATTTGTGGCTATGAATTCTAGAATTCTGACTCTCTTGGAGTTAAGGCTAAAACAATAGCTTCTTTTTACCTTCTACGAGCAAGTTGTGTGTGTGTGTGTGTGTGTGTGTGTGTGTGTGTGTGTGTAGTTGTTGTTGCTGCTGCTGTTTTGTTTTTTGTTTTGCTTCTGGTTCGGTCTTTCACCTTGCAGAAGTGAAAGATCAGCTTTGGGGAGCTCCCACTTAACCAACCATCCTACATAGGTCAAGGTATTTTCTCTGCACATTGTTCATTCAAAGTCCAATGAAACTGGGACCTGAAGGCTACCAGAGACACATGGGACTTCACCAAAATGCAGAAGCTGGCCCTGCCCTAAGATGATATTCAGCATTTGTTCTGTTTTCTCCACATGAGCTTTCAGGTGTTTTATAAAAATACTGATTAAAGAAATGCCTGAAATATTTTCTCCTGTTGTTAGTCATTCACATTTCAATACTCCACTCACAAGATGCAATCTGATCTGTATCTAACTTGGAGTCACCAGTTACTGGTCCACTTTCCCTTTATTGATAGAAGTTTTTTAATGGTGTTGACTGGGAATTCTTTACCTTGAATTGTCTGCACATCTCATTATAAAACTTCGTACATTTGTTAAACATTTACTATAAGAATCAATAAATAAAATATTTGAAACTTAGTCAGTTATGTTGTCTTCCTATTATTTATGTCTGCCAGTGACAGAGATTAACTGCTTTCATTTTCCCCAATACTCCAGATACCACACACATACATACTTCAACCTCCTTCAAAGGGGAAAAAAACTCATTTC